AATGTGGAAACCTGAGTGTCCATTGCCTCTTGTCACTGACCGCTGGAGATAAAATTGTATTGAAGATGCAAAAGCATGAGAATAGAATACGTATGACACGTTAAACAATGAGAAGAAGTTAGGAAGTCATCCTAATTTGTTTTGTATTCTTATATGTAGCTGTGATACGGTGGCCAGAACCGAGACTATTTTTTAGGAATTGCTGGTTTGCGTTTTGCGTTTGTATTCGTAAAATGTCGCGGTAAGCAAGAGTCTCCAACGACTTTTATTTTATCCAACAAGGAAAGGAAAAAAGCACAGAAAAATTCCTTTTTCAAGATATTCTGAGTATGGGGGGTAGATTATAGAAAGGGAAGGTATTAGCACCCTTTCTATCCGTAGTTATCTACAGGCTCTTAGGTACTTGCTCATCATTTTCAGAATTGCTTCTTTATGTTTGTGTGATTTGAAAAAGCTTTGTTTTGACTTCGATTTAACTCTTGCTTCTGTATTCAAGAGTGTAATGAAGTGTTTTTGAAAACTTTGCTTGAAAGGAGTGTAAGTGTGAAAAAGTTTGTTTGGATTGAGCAAGTACTTAAGAACTAATCTACCTACTCGAAAAAAGAATTGTTCGATGTTCGTTTCCTTTAGACAATGCCATCCCACTATTAGTGAGTAGTTAGCATCGTCGTTGGAATTTTTGAGGGTCAATTCGAAAAGGGACGTACGGTCACTAAAGCAACGATAGGACATCTTAGTAACAACCCTAATGTCTTAGATCAATTATTCGAGGCAACAATATCCGAGGCAACCATTCTGAGGCAACTTTTCTGAACGGGACTTTGATCTTTGTTTAGACAAAAGAGAGACCACTAAAGCATCCTATACTTAATGACCGTTTACCGAAGGCAACCAAGTGGGAGTGTACCCTAGTAGTGTGCATGTGCGAGTGATTCAATTTCAGATTATTTATCTTTGCACATTTTAGGGTTATCTAACTGTTTTAAAGTCAATCATACATTCTTGTCATGCATCCCTATTATCATACATCTAACAGTTTAATATTTGCGGAATTTAAAGTGCGGAAATTAAAGCTAAGCTATTACAAGGCTTCGGGTCTTTACATAGCCAAAAACAAACCCTTGAAAATAAAGCGATAAATGAAAAATAAAAAGACCTAATTAAACTATTACAACTTGTGGGCAGTTACATCAATATGGTAAAAATAATGATAAAGTGTGCGATGAAATTAAGATCGGGAAGAAACTAGGGTTTTGACCCTTCTAACCTAATTGGAAAAAAAAATGTTTTTTTGTTGTTTTTAATTATTTTTTTAAAGAAAAGAATTAGGTTTTAAAATTAAATACAAAAATAACTAGTAATTAAATTAATTAATGAAAAAAAATAAATGGCCTATTTTTGTGTTTTTTGGTTATTTTTAAGAAAAAGAAAATATAATTAAGTTAAAAATAAAACCCTAATTATTCTAATTAATTTTAATTTATTTGCAAAAAGAAATTAAAGTTTACCTAAAATTAAAATCTAATTAAATTTATTTATTTATTGATGAAAAATAAACCTAATGTCTAATTGGGTGAAAAATATTTTTATGATTTTTTTGATAAAAAAATAATAATTTTGTGTTAGTGAATAAAATAAATAAAAAAATTAAATAAAATATAAAAAAGAAAAGGAATAAGAAACTTGGGCCTGCAATCAGTAGTTTGAGGGAGTGTATTGCTAGTAATCTGGGTCCAAAAGAGAAGGTCCACGTTGACTTCCCTTGACCCCCATGCTGTGCGTTGACTAGGTCACATGATGGTCCTTCATGTGCTAGCCTTCAGATCTGACTTGTTGGTGATCTGATGGTTAGGAGTTGATGCCCTATGGTAGTCTTCACGCCTTGTGGAACATGGGATCTGTAGAAAGAATTCAAGAAAAATGCAAACGTTGGAGGCAGAGGTCGAACCCCTGACCTCAAACTCCCCAACGCCTTAACGCTTGCCTGGCCACCACTGGGCCAATTAATTCAGTTGATTATCAAATGAAATAAAAATAACAAAAGGAATAAAATAATACTAGCTGTAAACACGCGCGCAAATTCAAACCAGCTAATGGGATGGAGGTACGTAGGTCATCTTCCTCCTTGCACTGTTGGTAAAAGTTACAGACTTTTACCTACGGTGCCATGTCCGTTGCTATAAGTCTTGCAATTTTCAAAATCTAATACAAACGTGATAAATAAAAACCAAAGCCATGGATAGCTTCGTCTAGACCTGTTGAGTACAGTGGTGGCCCTTTCATGGCCCAATTTTACCTATATGATGAAATCCCAAATCGAGCTATAAAACCCTAACAATGGCACACTTCAATACAGGCCATGAAAACGCAATCAAATATTACAGAAAGCTTGCAAATGTGTTAAGGAGTAAAAATGTATAATTATTTCATGCTATAAGGGCCAGAATTACACAATTCGATTTCAAGAAATAACCAAGATCGTGGATGACTTACAACGCGTTTTAGTATTGGGAAAGACTTGTTTTTGATTGATTTCGCTTGCCTACACTCCCAGGAAGTGATTGGGATGGCTTGAATGCCTTGAGGTTGCTTGGAACAATGAATTCGACCCAACACTTTTGTTGTGATTTTTCAAGTTTGGTTCTCCTTGCTGCGCCTCTCTCTAGCCTTGCTTTAGGTCTGCCCACGATCCTTATGTACTGAGGAATGAATTAGGGTTGAAAGAGTGTGCTCAATCTTCCTCCATCAATGCTTTTGATTTTGATTTGATACACTTGAATATCCTTCCAAAAATAGGCCTAATCCAATCTTTTTATGCACCCCATGCCTTTACACGAATTTGATCTCATGCTAGCTGGATGTAGGACCTGAAACAAGCACAAGATATTTGAATTTCAATATTTTGGATTTTCTATGATTTGTTTTGATTTAAAATGATTTAATTCAAATAAAAATCAAAATAAATAATAAAAATAAAGATAATGACAAGTGGCAAGGGCTAGGGCTCGTGGACCATGTTGTCAACTCAAAACAAATGCAAAAGATTGGGCCCATTTGGCAAAATTTGCATTTTTAGGCATAGTTGACTTTTGGCAATTTTCCAAAAAGGGTCAACTTCACCAATGCACAACTTCCTCAATTTTGACTCTTTGAAGGTGTTCTTGGACTTTTTAGAAATCTTGAGATGTCCTCTAAGCAAAAATTTTGGTCTAATCTCAATTTGATATTCCATGCTCATGTATGAAGCTTTGACAAAAAAAGTGTTTTTTGTTGACTTTTTAAAATGACCTATAATGTCCAAATTCATAACTTCTTGTGAGTGCATGTTTTGAACTTGGGAGCTGAAGATGGATTGTAGAGCATTGCATTCTCTTCAAAATGAGTTTTGGATGGATCATTTATCATAAAGTATGAGAAAGTTATGCTTGTTCAAAGTTGAGTTGACTTTTCCTGCAAAATCCTAATTTAACAACTTTTAGTTCTTGAGGAATTATGAGCAATCCTTGATGAATCATGATCAACCCTTGATCAAATGATGAAATATACTTCAAAATGAGGATGTTGACCAAAAATCTTGAAGTTTGACTGTATGTGGGCCACAGTTGACTTTTGCTCTAGCACAATCGATTTTCAGGCCTTTGAGCAATTGACTGAGCAAACTTTCTTTGTAGGGCTTGAAATTTGACATGGATGATCTTGAGAACATATTAGGACAATGGTGAACATTTAGGGTCCCTTGGACTTAAGTATCTTGATACAATATGAAACCCTAATTTGAGGTAGACTAGACTGCCTTAGGAGAAAGATTGTCTGGCCAACCCTTGGACTTCCTTGAACAACTTGAGGATCTTTCTTGTAATGTTTTGAGAAATATGGGAGGACAAATTTTGAGGTACAACAGTAGCCATTTTTTATTTTATGTATATATTTTATCGAGTAGTTTATTTATCAAATTACTTATTTGAGAAAATTAATACAAAATAAAAAATAAAAAAATTACGTCACTATCTATCAGAAATTTCAAATTTTTAGAATTTTTTTGATAAATAGAAGAAATTTCAACAATTCTAATATGGAAAAACCAATCTACACAAGAAATTTCAAAATTTCAATATCGAAAATTTTAAAATTTTTGAAATTTTTAGTAAATACCAGAAATTTCAACAATTGAGTATGAAAATATTGATCTTCATAAAAAATTTCAAAATTCCAGTATTTCACCATAATTTCGTGGAAAATGAATTTTTTTATTAAATTCTTGAATAATTTCCAAATTTCCGATACAATCTCATATTTTTTGAAACACCCATAACTTTAACAAATGATATATCAGTAAAAGAAAGAATAGCGTGTCCTGGGGTGTTAATGTATAACCCAGGGGTTACAGGTTAAATTCTCGAACATTTAGAAGGACTAAGTTACAAAATGCAAATTTCCTCAATTTGCAATTATGGAAATTGAAAATACAACGCAGTCCATCCATGCATGCTAATGGATAACACTCTCTTCGACCTTTTCATCTTCACTTTGCTCCGCCACCATTAACACCGGCCACCGTGAAACCGCCGCAACTGCCTCATATCCGACCAAGGTTATTCTCCTTTCGGGTTTCTCTCTTGCTGCATGTTTTGAGTGCTCAATTTCACTTCACCTCTATCACTTTACTATTCCTCTTTTCAGAATTTGAATTTCCCCAATTTACATGAACCCTATTTTGTTTTCTTGTTCGAGTCATGAATTTGAACCCATTTTTATATAATTAGAGTTGCATATGACTAATTCCCTAACTAAATTTCATTTTTTTTATGAATCAAAATCAACTTCCCATAGTTATTCCATTGATTTTTCGAATTTGTTAATTTCTGTTTCGTTGTGTGTTATAGTATTGGTTTCATTTCTCATTTTCTGGTATTATGTGTTTTTTTCCTCTGGTTTTCAGATAACAGGTAAAGATTTTGGATGGTGGTGTTTTGAACCAAATAACAGACACTGGACTAAAAATGAATGTGTTAACCCCCAATGCGGTACAGCAACTGTCACTATCGTTCTCAAAATCATTCTCGTGTTTTGAGTGGCAGAACAAGAGCAAGAATGTGCTGTCCCTCACAGTGACGGTAGCAAAACCACCTTCCCGGTCATCTGTGATACGAATGGGTGGAGGGCCGAGGACATACCCAGGTGGGGTGTCCAAGTGGCAGTGGAAGAGAATGCAGGCCAAGAAGGCCAAGCAGCTCATGAAGGCGCGGCTATGCCGGGAGCGGCAGATATATGAAATGAGGAAGCGGGCTGAACTTAAGGCTGCTGTGTCCGAGCTTGAGAAGCCTTGGGAGGTGGTTGAGAAGGCCCCCAAGTTGTTCTCTATCAAAGCTGATGAGCAGCTTAAGGTTTTGGCTGATAGGTTTCAGAAGCCTGGTGGGTTTGACCTTTGGACTGAAAAGGATGGAGCACAGTTGTTTCAAACCCCTGATGAGTTGCCTTCTGCGAGGTTCTTTCCTAAAGGGGTTGTTCATAGTATCAAGCCTTATATGAAGGTTACTAGTGATGACTTGTTGGAGGGACCAGATGTTCTGGAAGATGATGATGGGGAAGGGTATTGGGCAGAAGATGTTGTTCATGGTGAGGGTGGTTCTTCTTTTCCTTTGAATTATGGGAAGAATGGAATGAACGTTGGTGGCCTATTGATAAATAATGGGAATGAAAGGAGGCATTTGTCAGAGAATGTTGATTGGTCTCATGATGGGGAATGTTCTACTCATTTGAGTAGTGGGAAGAATGATTTGAATGTTCGTGGTGGGTTGAGAAAGAATGGGAATGGGAGAAGATATTTGTTAGAGGATGTTGATTCATCCCGTGATGGGGAGTGTTCTTTTTTAAGTAGTGGGAGGAATGAATTGAATAGTCGTGGTGGATTGAGAAAGAGTGGGAATGGGAGGAGGTATTTGTCACAGGACGTTGATCCGTCCTATGATGAGGAGCGTTCTTCTTATTTGAGTAGTGGGAGGAATGAACGGAATGGTCGTGGGGGGTTGAGAAAGAATGGGAATGTGAAGAGGTATTTGCCAGAGGATGTTGATCGGTTCCATAGTGGGGAGCGTTCTTCTCATTTGAGTAGTGGGAAGAATGAATTGAATGTGCGTGGTGGATTGAGAAAAAATGAGAATGGGAGGAGATATTCGTTAGGGGATGTTGATCGGTCGGATAATGAAGAGCATTATTCTTCTTCGAATTCTGGTAGGAATGAATTGAACAATGGTGCTAGAATGAGGAAAAATGGGAATGGAAGAAAGTTTATTCCAAAGGGTGTTTATGAGTCGGATGATGCAGAGCGTTCTTCTCCTTCACATGTGAAGAATGGAGCGAGTTTTGATGGCAAATTCGGGAATAAAGGGAGTGCAAGGAGGGTTATATCCAAGGGTGGTCATACTGATCGGTCTAATGGAACTGGTGAGGTTAGATCAAGTAGGAAGGAGAGTGGAAGGAGGTTTATATCAAAGGATGTCAATGGGTCTAATGGGATGTATGCAGGAAGAGATGGTTCTGGTAGCACACAGAAGGGGAGCCATTCCATTAGAGGCAGAAGTTATAGAAAATATACTCAGAGAACTTCAAACAATGCTTCACCAAGGGTTAGAGATGCAGATTCTGAAGTTTATGATATGGGTTTGCAACAAGATGGAAGTTATCAATTCCTAGAGAGTGAGCAATCTGATTCTACAAATTGGTAAAACTGCAGACTCTTGCCAAGGGTCATTCTTAGTTATCAATGAGTTTTGATGTTAGTTATAGGTCTGCTTGAGGATGATGACTGATGTTCTGTCTACACTTTCCCAGGCTTTGTAAAAGTATATTTTGTATATGACGCTTTTGATGTTGAATGAAAAAGTTGAAATTTAAGTCTAAGTCTTTTTTATTCTTTTAAAACTTTTGAACTGCATAAACTCTTATTCATATAATGCTAGTTCCTTGTAATCATTCGAAAGTCCATATTTCAGCAAGAATGTAACTATATGTAAGTTGTGAGTACATAACCTTTTCCTAGGGATTTCTCTTATAAGTGTTGTGCTTGAAACCAATTGTTTTTTGTTTCAAAAAGTAACCAACAACAGTAACTATGTTACGTTTAATCAAATTTAATAAAATAAGTCATGTCCTGGATTATATGAATATTGAGAAATTGGTAATATATCTGCTTGCTAGAATCTAATCAAGGTGAACGTATAAATAAGGTCTTCTTTTGAACCAGTTTTTGAACATAGCTTTTGTAGCTTAAAATATTTAGAGTGTAGTGTTAGGGTGTATTGAAACAGATATAAGCTGTTAATCTGATTGCTATTCCGTGCTCATGTGGCCATTCTAGGTAACAAAAACTGTTAAATTTTTTTTTTTAAATCTGATTGCAATTAAGTGTTCATGTGGCCATTCTAGGAAACAAAAAGCCGTCGAAAAGGTATATGACATAGTCATACTTGTATGTCCTTCTCTTATTTCACCCAACTGGCAAAATTGGCATTTGAATATGTTTAATGCCCTAACATTTTGTACTAACTATTGGTTTTGCCTTTATTAGTGCTGATAAAAGTAGTTATTTTGACATAGTTTTTAGACATTTTCTATGAAATTGTAAGAAATCTCTAGGGTTTAGAAGCATAATATCAAAATCTAGTGATGTTTGAGGGGGTTTGAAATTTTTTGCTGCTCCTTTAATTTTGAATAAATAAATACAAGTATGTCTTTTATGAGATCAATTTCATTATCTCATAAAAGACACACTTCACTCATGTTTCCTTTCAATTATAGGTATGAGGGTCAAGACGTAAGCAATAGAATCAATGAGTTGTGGCCTTATTCATGATGAAATGAAGGTAGGTTCTTGAAATATATTAGTTTTTTTTCAGTTTTACTTTTTGAATGGGAGTTGAAGAGCTCCAACTGAAAATAAATATACTCTAAGAGTGCACTTTCTTGACAGATACAGGGAACTGCTTATTACAGTTTTACTAGATGAGAGACTAGACTCCCTTATTTATAATCTCATCCCAATTTGCTCTTTCCTGCTCAAAAATTGGAGCCTATGTCTCCTTAAATATGATATATTAGAACCTTTTAATGATTTCCCATTTTGCACTGCTACCTCACATGGATGAGACCAGGAAGGAACTCCTTTCTTTATTGAAGCTGTGACTGAAATAGTTTGGAGCCTTTTTTGTCCCATCAAACAAGTAGCTATCTGTGACTCCACTAAATTAATATATTATCCGTAAAGTCTTGAATTTACTCCTTGTTTTGGACATGTTGAGTTGCCAAGTTGTTGAAGCTATGGGATCTGCTAGAGTATTCCTTTATAAGTTTGTAGAAGAAGGAATCTTCTCTTTCAAGTAACTTCGATGGTTCATCATATTCCGCAATTCTCCCTGTAACATAAGATTTATATTAAGCTACTTCCCAGAAATATCATGCGTCAGACTCTAGAGTCATTATTATGTTACTTCATTTTGCTTTGGAATAGTCTTTGAAACACTTACCGTCACTGAGAACCAAAACCAAGTCGCTATCAATAACTGTGTGGATTCGATGAGCTATCGTGACAACTGTTCGATTGTTGAACTCTTGACAGATGATATCCTGTATCACTCCATCAGTTGCAGAATCCACCGAGGCTGTTGCTTCATCTAATACTAATATGCTGCTTTTCTTTAGTAAGGCTCTTCCAAGGCAAAATAATTGTCTTTGTCCAGCACTCCAGTTATCACCATTTTCAACCACTAAAAAAGAGTTTCAGTTATTAGTAACAATGATTGATTATCACCAAAAGCATAATAACCTATGTAAGTTGATAGCTAATGAATCCAACCTGGGGATTCCAACTTCTCTTCCATGGCTCTCACTAGGTGACCTAGCTGACATTTATCTAGAGCCTGAAAATAAAAAATCCATGCGTATCAAACTATATTATATACAACATAGTCTTAGAAAATGTAATAAGGGTATTTTAGTGATAAAGATGCATTAAGTTTATTTTCATGTTCATGATCTAGTTGTTTGATTTAAGTGTTTACCTCCCAGACTTCAATGTCAGAGTATTGCTCAAGAGGATCCAGGTTTCCTCTAACCGTGCCTTCAAACAAGGCTGGATCTTGTGGGATAATGCTCAGCCTTGACCTTAAGTCATGGAGACCTATCTCACATATGTCTACATTGTCAATCATAATGCATCCCTCTCTTGGTTCAACAACCCTGAAAATTGCTTGTATGAGTGTTGATTTCCCACTGCCGGTTCGTCCTACGACACCGATTTTCTTCCTTCCAGGAAATGTGCAAGTGATGTTTTTCAGCACAGATGGGAGATGTTCAGCATAACGTATCTGTAACATATTTTGTCGAGAAGAAGATATGTTAGGAAAAACTGGACGTATAAACTTGAGTTATTACATATTTTGTGTCCTAATTCTTGCAATATCAAACCTGCAAATTTTGGAAAGATATTGTTCCAGTTTCTGGCCAGTTTCTTGGCGGCCGGCAGTTTTCAATCACAAGAAGTGATTCACTCGCTATATTTGTATATTGAAGAATTCTTTCAACTGATATCATCTTGTTTTCTGCATTACAAATGTTCCATATTACGGAAGCTTGCAAGACATTTAGATTGATTCCATATGTTACTGCCAACCCTGCAATGCCTGTAACATATCGAGAAACAAATCTTCAATTCCTGTGAGGAGCTTTATATGACAATAACTTTGTATGTTTGCACAAAACATGGATAATTGGTGATCTTAATGGTTTCTACTTTTATCGTCTGTTATCCATATTTTCTCAGTAATGATTTGTACTTACTTGGATTGATGAAACCTTCAGGGAGGCTCACTAGCAAGACCAGTGAAAAGGCGAAGACAAAATTTGAAAGCAAATTTAATCTGAAAGAAAGCCATTCCATTGCAGAGACATTATGAAACCATGGCCTTGAGAAGCCATCCAAAAGGACAAGATTTGAACTCATGAAACGGCCTTCTTGATCGAAAGCTCGTATTGATGCAGCTCCTGCTAAGGATTCGGAAAAATGGTGGAGTATTGGAGTAATCTGTATCTGTGCTAACCGAGCCAATTCTCTTGCTGTCGGATTATAATATCGCTGAAATGAACATCATTCAACTTCTGTTACGATCATATGATTCACATAGCTTCTACATTGTGAAATTGAAATATTATATGTTGCGTAAATTTTGAATTAGTAATGAGTAACACTTGTTTTATGTCCTTTCATTCATAGGGAGAGCAAGAAGGGAAAAAAGGACACATACTTGATACCAAATGCAGATTCCAGTTACTGGAATGAAGATGATAAACACTTGCCATGCCGCCTGACACATCACTGCAATCGTGCCTAGAATCTGTATTATTGAGAAAGCACACCATCCTATTCGGTTTGCGATTTCCAAGTCTAGCACACTTTGATCTGTTGAGGCCTGAAATTAAAACTTTCAACATTGCATTCTAATAATAATAACAATAATAAACATAAATAGCATTTTCATATATATGCTTACTTACCCTGTTCAAGATTCTTCCAGTTGGCGTAGAATCGAAAAACGACATGGGGGCTCTTTGCACATTATGCAACATTCTTGTGAAAAAAGTTTGTGCTGTCCAAAGTCCAACATTTAACACCAACATGGCTCTCAGAAGAACACAAAAGGCACCAGCAACAGATAGAACCATATAAATAAGTAATATGAAATTCATATCATATATTGGCTTAGCATCAGATTTTGTAGGACAAACCCAAGCCATCCAATAGTTACTAGCAATCTGAAGAATTTGGAACGACGACTGTGCCAATATTATGATTGGAACAAGAAGTCCTCCTTTAACAGTTGTCAAATAAGACCAATAAACTTCTCTTGATATGCTTCCTGTTTCTCGTTCTTCATCTTGAACCAATTTTCCATCCTTATTTCCTTTGTTATCAGGTGGATTATCTTGTACCGTGTCGAGCTTTGTGTGCAAAAGTTCAGAACTTGAGTGTGAGTAGGTGATGCATTCTCCTTCAGGTATTGGATTTAAATTTGTTTTACTTGTGTTTTCAACCATGAGAACTGACTCTAGTGCTTTGCTATGAGCACCAACTAATACTTCAAATCCTATATTTTGCTTTAGAAGCTCTTCAAATGTTCCTGCTTGTGCAATCCTTCCATTTTGCATTACCTGGTAATCATTTGGAAGAAATAAATCAAGATTGAGAAATCTAAAGTAAATGAACAGTTTAACGAGTTTAATTTTCGTTATGACCTAAACATGTGTTTGTAAGTGGCGGCGATCATCATCTATGAAGCCGGTTTTGTAGAGAGCCAAATTCTAATTCTAATATGATATCAGAATCAGGTTTAAGATCCTGTAGACCGCTTGTTATCAAGTTTCCACTATCAGGTCAGGGCAATCCTCATGTCCAATCTTGGGAATGAGAAGTATTTATAAGTTGGGACAATTCTCACCTTTAAAGCTAGTTTTGTAGGGATGAGATACGCTCAACCCACACATTCTAAGATTTCTGATACACTCTCGTGTAAAAAGTTTTACACCGTTAACAAATCAAAACCAAACTTTGAAAAATCATTTACCAGAATGAGGTCTGCTGCTGGAAGAAACTCAACTTGATGTGTAACAAAAAGTATAGTTTTCTCTTTGAGAATCCCCATTAGACATTCCTGCAAAACATTAAGCAATAGTT